CTTTAGGATTTATCCAGCGTCTGCCTGACGTCTCAGAATCTCCTTTTTAACCAGGAAACATTTAAAATCTGCCGATTTGCAGATCCCTGTTTTACATAAACTTCTTGTTTCATTTAAGTCATGCGTAGTTCACTGTTTAGCAAGTATTAAAATCAAATCGATGAAAAAAAACAATCAAAACTTTTGGCCTCCAAGTATTATAACTCTACATTTTTGCCTCAAAAGGCGAAAAGTTTGTCCGCCCCGCCCTGGTTTGTCCAACCTTCCTGTTATCTCTGCTCTCTCCTCATTTTTAATTGTCCCTCCCTGATGTTGAAACCAGCTGCCATCGTGTGAACATCCTTAAGTTAAAGTGCTGCTTTTAACACATCATAGTTTTCAACTTTGATGCATTTAAAGAATCAGATTTTTTGAGTTTTTGAGTTGAGTTCTGTTGGTTTCTGTTTGCATCTCTGACTTTTGCGCAGCACACCTCAGATATTAGGAATGGGTTTCACTTCAGGCTGAATTGCACTTTTAAAAACAGACGCCGATAAAACTGTTGGCCTTTGTCGGAGGAGTTGAATCCATGTTTGCGTTTGTTCAGTGCAGAGCTGCAGCTAAAAGGCAGCAGCAGAAGGTTTATCCACTCGCTCAGGTTATCGCAGCACAAAGCATCTTCATCAAATGTCTTCCAAAGCAAACACTGGTGAAACATTTGGTGTTTTTATAGTGGTTATTACTTCAACAGTTAGTTTGTTGAGAATCAGGTGAGATTTTATCAATATTTATGGTAGAATTAACATTTACAGTCAATTCTTTTCACGACAAAAAATTGAAATCTAAATAAATAAATTTTTTTCTTAAAATTTTTGCATTTTTTTCTTGAATCGAGGAGGTAAGTGAGACACTTTGCCAATGGAACAAGACATTTTACATTTAAAATAAGAAAAAAAATGTTTTATTTCAACACTTTTTGCATACACTGCAAAAAATCTAAATCTAGAAAAGTCAATTTTTTCTTAAAATAAGTGCATTTTTTCTTGAATTGAGGAGGTAAGTGAGACACTTTGCCAATGGAACAAGACAATTTACACTTAAAATAAGAAAACACAATTGCATTGTCTTATTTCAAGTGCATATTATCTAATTATCTAATTTTAAGAGTGATATTACTCATTCCATTGGCAAACTATCTCATTTACCTACTCAAATTGAGGGTGAATACACTTAATTTAAGAATGTTTTACTTATTTCTAGATCGTTTTTGCAGTGAATGTATTTGATTGGCAAAGTGTCTCACTTACCTTCTTAATTTAAGAACAAATTTACTTATTTTAAGAAAAAAAATCACTTATTTAGATTTACAGGTTTTGCAGTGCAGATAAAAATCAAAACACAATTGCAATGACACTGCAAAAACGATTTTGGAATGAGTCAAAATTTCTTAAATTAAGTGTATTTCCCCCTAATTTGAGCAGGTAAATCAGATGATTTGGCATTGATGATTAATTTTACTCTTAAAATAAGATAAATAGATAATACACTGCAAAAACGATCTAGAAATAAGTAAAAATGTCTTAAATTAATTGCATTCACCCTTAATTTGAGTAGGTAATTAAGGTAATTGTCTCTTTTACCTCCTCAATTCAAGAACAAATGCACTTATTTTAAGAAAGAATTACCTATCTAGATTTAGATTTTTTGCAGTGTTTAAACTTAGAAATAACAACTGCAGTCTCCTATTTCAAGTGCATAATATCTAATTATCTTAAGAGTAGAAATACTAATTACATTCGCAAAACATCTTGTTTACCTGCTCAAACTAAGGGTAAGTACACTTTAAAATTTTGCTCATTTTTTTATACACTGCAAAAACAATCTAGAATTAGGTAAAGATTTCTTAAATTAAGTGTTTTTACTCTTAATTTGAGTAGGTAAGTAAGATAATTTGCCAATGGAATGAGTATTTTTAATCTTAAAATAGGATAATTAGTTAAAACTCACTTAAAATAGGACAAAGCAATTGTTTTTTTCTTATTTTAAATGTAAATTGTCTTGTTCCATTGGCAAAGCGTCTCACTTACCTCCTCAGTTCAAGAAAAAATACACTTATTTTAAGAAAAATTGACTCATTAAGATTTAAATTTTTTGCAGTGTATAGTTTTTACAGTGAACACATTTTGTGCATATTTTTTTAAAATCCTGCAACCTAATTTTTCTGTGAAGTCAAACATGCTTCATTAGCTATGATTTTATATCAAATATGCAGCAAATTTAACTGATATTCTGCTAATAAAAAAAAAACAATTTCACAATTAATAAGACATGTGATCAAAATTATATGTGAAGTAAATTTGTTAATTCAATAATGGATGAAAAAAACCTGCTGCTCCATCATCCTCTCACTACTTCCCATCGTTTTGTCGTTCCTGCCAGTAGTAGCATGTATAATACTGAACATAATGCGATATAGAATTTATTTAGATAATTACACTGTGAGCAGTTCACTGGAAACGCAGCTATTGATACAGAATTTCTGCATCAAGCGACACAAAAATAACATCACTTCTTCTCATGCTGCACCATGCAGACGCTCCATCTGCACTGATAAAGATCGACTCACCTCAGAGGCTAAACTTTGACCAGTTCTAACTGACAGCAGACGAAACTATTCTCTGATTTACTTAGAAAATTATCATTTTACTGTTAGTGGAGCATTGTTTATAATATTTATGGTATTATTATTTTCCTACTCAAATAAATACACCTAATTTAAGGGATTTTTACTCATAGTCAGAACATTTTTGCAGTGTTTTGTCTTTGTGTTTTTGATTTTCATTCCCATAATTTTTAAAACCCAAACGCTTTTGGTAAATGAATGCAGCGTGGAGGCGGGAGTTTGGAGCGTTCCACTGATTGTGTGCTGCTTCTGTTAAACAGGGGATTATCTGGAGAAGATGTGGGCCGGTCGAGACGCGGCGGACATCAAGAGTAAGGCCCTCAGTGCTTCTCGCTCGGTTGCTTCACTGGAACAAAATCTAAAAAAGTCATTTTTTCTTAAAATAATTGCAGTTTTT